TGGTTATCTTATAAAAAAGTTATTTTATGTAAGGTGGGTTCCCGGGGTGGTCTTAAGGGGGTTCCCCACACATCGTTGGCATATATGTAAAACACGTTTTTTATCAGACTTCTAGCAGACAGACTCTTGGAATTTCTGAAATTTATAGCCCCTACGCCAGAGTCTCCAACTGTTATGTCCAGTTCCCATAAATGGGGTGCTTATTATAGAAGGATTTCCAGGAATCCCTAAAACTATCCAAAAAGCACCCTGGGTCCATACAAGACTGGGTTCCCATGCCTAGATCAATCCAACAGGATCGGTCTAACCCCATGGGGATTCACGCTAAATTGCTATCAACTTGAGTGGCTTAAATGTCTGTCATTTTTTGATAACCAAAACTTTAAAATGTAAGTAAACCAGTCAGATAATTTGCGTTTTTATCATTTTAAGGACAAAGGATAAATTTGTGTCGAATAAGCTAAGATTAAGATGTTAAAACGTTTATTCTTTGAGAGACTTCACTTGACCTGTTCATCTTAATAACCTTTATTCTATCCCTCTGTGTAGTAGAAATGCAGATCTATTTTAGAATAAATTTTATAAGAAAAGATTGTTTTATTTGGTCTTTAAGAAAAAGGATAAAATTTAAATTTATTTTAAATATGTAAAACATTTACAGANTTCCCATGCCTAGATCAATCCAACAGGATCGGTCTAACCCCATGGGGATTCACGCTAAATTGCTATCAACTTGAGTGGCTTAAATGTCTGTCATTTTTTGATAACCAAAACTTTAAAATGTAAGTAAACCAGTCAGATAATTTGCGTTTTTATCATTTTAAGGACAAAGGATAAATTTGTGTCGAATAAGCTAAGATTAAGATGTTAAAACGTTTATTCTTTGAGAGACTTCACTTGACCTGTTCATCTTAATAACCTTTATTCTATCCCTCTGTGTAGTAGAAATGCAGATCTATTTTAGAATAAATTTTATAAGAAAAGATTGTTTTATTTGGTCTTTAAGAAAAAGGATAAAATTTAAATTTATTTTAAATATGTAAAACATTTACAGATGTAACTTTGTTTCTTTCAAAGTTCCATACACGTTGCGTCTCGAATATAAATACAACGAAGGGTAATTTTTATAAATATTAGAGCTGTGACCGCCATGCCGTGTTGAACCCTTGCATGGATTTATTTAATTAAATCAAAGGGAAGTCCGTGCATATTAGCAGTTCTTTTACTCATTTCTATCTAGGGACACTCATAGTCCCAGTTTTGGCTGTATTTCTAGATCATTGGGTGTCGAGTTTATATACTTTTTTGACGTTCATTCAATGCCTTCATATACTTTTTAGTATAATATATTTGTACGCATTTCACAGATTCATAAACAGATTTCACCTGACTCATAAAAATGAACAGGTGTCCTTTTTTTCAACATTAGGAAAATAAATAAACTAACAATGTGAATAAAATATCTTTTAAACGGTGACTACATTTGCAACCATTTCATTAAAAATAACATTACAAACACTTAAGAAGTCCACATACCAAGCTGACTTTTTTGTTAGTCTAGATCTCACTCTGAGATCCGCGACATGAATGACATGGAAAGCGTGCTTGAGATGATGAAGTAAACCGTCTTCTGATTTCTATATCATCAGCAGTACTCGTCACCACTATCGCGATCCTTATGTTGCTGAAATGCATCCAAAGAAGAAAGAGATATAACTGTGATGCGCCAATAACTGGTGCGTCTTCCGTTAACGATAACAAGTCCAAAACGGGCAATGTAGATAATTCCATTTTCAAAATTTTACTTTTCTTAATGTGAAATGTGCAAACGCTATCCTACTAGAATTTGTTGTCAAATTCCTTAATAGTACAACAAAAGAACCATAGAGTTCAGATCACAAATATGATCCCTAAACTTGAAAATTAATTTTAAGGAGTTTTTTATGCACTCCAATTGTTTTATGACTTCATGACCTTACATGCAAGTTGACGCATGCAATTAGAGTAATTGAGATTTGTATGCACCAAGCAATAGTGCAGCACTGGATCCACCTAAGATAAAAATTGGGATATAAGCCTTCTGAATAAGTGTCTAGGGAGCAAACCTTTAGAGAGACCACTTGGGAGAGCCAACAACTCGGACGCCAGTTATAGGAGAGGATTAAGAAGTTTGAGACTTCACGTAGATCATGTAGTTAGGGAGCGTGAACAAAATACACCCCATTTCCATAGATTTTTAGATTGATCTATCCCTGTGGGGAGTCTCACTAGATTACTGTCAGTTTGGCCGGCTTAAGCGTCTGTCCCGCCTACTAAAAGCTGTAAGGGGGTAATTAACTATGGTGCCCGCTCGGCTGACTGCAATTTAGCGTGAAACCCCAGGGAGTTAGGTCGATCTAAATTTTAATCCCTGGATCGATCTAAATCTCTGGAAGTACACCCATAGACCCTTAAACTGGTCATTATGTGTCCTTGGGTTTTCTTTGAGCAAGTTTACGTAAATCTGACATNTGATTTTATTTATGCCAATTTGCCAAATTTAATTACGTTTTGATGTACTAATTAAAAATATTATTTGCGAAATTTATATCATAAAAACCCCGGAAGCATAGTTTTGCTGTTACTGTTTGCTGTGCTTGATCCGGGTCGCGCTTCGATTTTCGTGATTATCAATGTTTTACAGAAATGGCACAAGTTTGAAGCGTTGTTTTTAAAATTAATGTTGAGTATTTTACCTATTGTATTCTTTATTTACCTAATGGACTTCTACGGGAAGAATGAGGTAGGTGATTACATGTTTAAAAACTAAAGTGCTCGCCCATCGCCTCTGACTACGGAAATGACAAGATACATGTGTGTACTGCAAGCATTGTGAAATATGAGAAGCTATTTGCTTTATTTCATATGTAAAAAGATAACAAAAATGGTCACCGAAACCATTTTCTAAATAAACATTATCCTTTGAAGCTTTGGCCTTAATTACTATACCGATAAGAGCAGGGCTATATGTTGTTGATAAACTGTCTGCGATTTTTAAAGGTAGCGGTAGTTATTTGTATGTACGTATGGTAATAGTCAGGTATTGTCCAGATTACTGGAGATGGAGAGATCATTAATGATCTGAGCAGTAGTGTCTTCTGTAGCACATTACATCATACATGGGCCAATTTCCTGAGGATCCAGTAGCTATTTATCGTAAGGGACAGTACTTTTGTGAAGTTATAGTATAAATAACTACACACTGTACCTGTACCACATTACATTAGTACTGTACTACATGTACATCAGACAATTCGTGTCTAACCATCTTTTACAAGGATAAATACAACTACATGTATGACCTGTATCCTTGGGTGATGTGTAATATATCACCCCATTTCCATAGATTAGATCGACCTACTTTGGATCGACCTAACTCCCTGGGGGTTCGCACTGAATAGCTGTCAGCCGTGCGGACACAAAAGTTAATTGCCCCTTACGGCTTGTAGTGGGCGGAGACGGACACTTAAAGTCATAATAACTCTTCGTTTTGGCCAAAAATTGGATTTTCCTGGCGTAAACGACAATTTTCCCGTACTCACCAATGGTCAACGACCCCATTCCTGCATTCAAAGTTAGTCCAGGTTTTTTTTTTCCTAAACGCTTGGTTTTTTGTTAAAATCTCTTAAGAGATTTTAACTGACGGAGCTCTCTCTGACATAGCATATCGAGAGGGGTTTTTCTGATGACCTACTTAAAACCGCCGGAAAAGCTGACAACAACAACACTTTATTACAACAAAAAAAGATTCATACGATATAATTGTCTTATTGCTCAGAATGCATATATCCACAACGTGTGCAGTTCTGGGCTATTCGTTATCCGACCTACTGAACAAAAACTTGCAACTTACGTCTGAGGATTGTGCTATATCTTATCCCGCCACTTTATTTTGGTCTCGAATGCACGCGAGAATCCGCGTGATGCGCCAAAATCCTTGGCAACGAATGCCTTGACGACCGGGAAGAAAGGCACCAAAAGCCCTATTGACAAGCACAGTTTTTAGTTTTACTACAATAACAGCCATTTTACTGGTGAAATGCAGTATAATATATTTCCGTGTGTTGTTTAGAATGTATTTCTTGCGGAATTTTGAATCTCAAACGAAGACTTATTATTGCTTTAAGGGGGATTATCTGACGGTAGTCTGGTGAGACTCCCCGCGGTGATAGATCGAACTAAAGTTATGGGAATAGACCCTAAGTGTATACACTTAATATTGTTTACCCTCTTTACATAAAGTTTATTATTATTATTATTACTATTATTATCATCCTATCATCTCTGCTTGTATAAATTGATGTAGTTTGAATTAAAGCAGAGCTAAATGTTTACAAGTAGTTCAGAAAAAAAATTAACCTATTTCAGGTAATTTGTTGATAGATAACTGGTGTATTGAATTTTGACACTTTAAATATCATGCATTCATTGGAAATGACAAAATCTATCTTACATTTCAGTTAAGGCGGGAAGATATGTACTGGTAGAAGTGACAGTCACCATGGCAACAGCAAGTTCCAACCCTGACCAGGAGAATTTTTTTCGTATGACTGTATTAATTGTAGATAATGCCTTGAAAGTTTTGCAAGATGTTCTTCAGAAAGAGCTTACAACAGAGTATCCCAATTTATTTGACCTGAGCACTGGGTTGTTACGTGGGGTGCTTGGTGATGGAATTGTCAGAACAAAACTGGATAGACTAGTACGATCCAGAGTACTTAATGTACATCAACAAAACCAGCTGTATCCTGGTGGAAACCCCTCCTCATCAGTGACTGTTGGTGATTTAGACATCACATTGACTGTGCTTATGCTGAGAAATATCACAACATTGAATCCACGACCACCGTTGAATGCATGGGACAACCCCTCTGACTCAGACACATCAAGAGAAGCCACGATTGGGCGAGTTAAAAGATATCGAAACATTGTGTATGGTCATGCTAACAAGGCAGCAATTAGTGATCAAGATTTCAGGGCACATTTCTCAGGGCTCAAGTCCAATTTGCTGGCTCTCTCTAGTATGTACACCGATGAGGAATATGATGCCATCTTGTCTAAACCTCTTGATGCTGCTTTACTGGAGAGAAACCAGAGCATTCTGAAAGAATGGTATAATTATGACAAAGATGTGAAAGATCAGCTGGTAAAAGTCATACATGAATTGAAAGAAGGTGAAACAAAGCTGCAGGACCATGTGGAACAGGTTCATAAAAGAAGTGAAGACACTATTCTCAAGAAGATGGACAGTGTCGCTCAAAATACACATAATAAACTTGAGGAAATCTCTCAAAGAGTCACACAGATGGACATAGGTCAGTCAGAGCTGAAGGACAAATTTAAGCAGACACAGAAGTTCATGGAAGAGGTCAAAGCTGCACAAAAAGAAGACTCGCAGAATATCCAATTTCATCTAGAAAAAGGAAGAGGAGAACTTGCATCTTTAAGATCAACGCAAGGTCAGCAACTCCAAATGACAAAAGGTATGACCATATGCATTTTATGGTTTAGACATTTTTTTTCAATATCAGTAAAATTTATGCACAGTGGGATTTTTGTGGTTTACGTTCTGATTCTGAAAAAAATCCATCTCTGACCTTTTCTTGGATGTAATTGAATTTGAAATTATGATATTAGCAACATAACACTGCAGATAAAATACAACTTGAGACCTTCTATTTTGTTTTCAGAAATGCAAGAAAATGTCCAGACAATATGTGACAGAGACCGAGATACAACAGAATTTCAGAAAACTCCAGGTACCCAGCAGGCATAGTTGCATTGGATCAACGTTGAAAAGAGGTTGATACATTGAATTGCCGTTGATCTACCTAAATTCAACGTAGAATCAACGTTGATCCAGCCACGTTGAAACACCGTCATAATGTGACGTTGACTCAACGTTGTATTTTGGTCATTGACACAACCTTGCAGACATGGATTATATTTTAAAATATTAATTGTTGAAAACGCGATACTTTGTTTATCAATACTGCAACTAACTTTATCAAAATAATCAAAAAAAGTAAGTAAAAGTGACAGTTGTTTTGTCTCTTTAGAGAAATAGTGAATTTTCTTAACTTGTTATTCAGAAATACATTCCAATAAACTGAATTCCTTGCAAGGTCAGCTAACACTAGGATGAATAAGACCCCATTTCCAGAGATTAGATCAATCTACTTTAGATCGACCTAACTCCCTGGGAGTTCACGCTAAAGTTAATTACCCCCTTACAGCTTGTAGTAGGCAGGACAGACATTTAAGCCGGATTATCTGACAGTAATCTAGTGAGACTCCCCGTGGGGATAGATCGATCTAAAAGCTCTGGGAATACAGCCTA